TGCTGCTGCTGCTGCTGCTGCTGGTCTACTGCGTGGTAGTTCATTGTCTGCGCGGGCTGCTGCAGCACGGGGGCCCCCAGCCGGTGCGTCAGAGCCGCCAGCGTGGGGGCCTCGGGGCTGCGCGAGATGCAGGAGGGGGCGGAGGGGGCCGCGTGAAAGAAAGGAGAGCCCGTTAAGGATGAGGGAATGTACGCGCTACCCACCGCTGCAACGCAGGTGTACATACATACACCGCAATGATGAATAAAAAAAAAAAAATAAAATAAAATAAAATAAAATAAAATAAAATAAAATAAAATAAAATAAAATAAAATAAAAAACACACACACAAATAGACGCAAAATATACGGCAGCAATGGAAGCAGCAGCAGCAGCAGGGTGTGTACAGAGAGAGAATACGAGCAGCAGAAAAGCATCAGAATATTGTTTTTTTTTTGTATATAATTTAGATAATAATTGAATATATTTATAAATATGAATATATTTATTTATAAAATAAATAATATTATATTATTTATTTATTGCATGCGTATATATAAAAAAAAAAACACATACCTGCTGCAGCAAGACACTGCGGGGGGCGGACGTTTGTAGGTATTAAGCGGCCAGCTGGTTGGGGGGTAGATAAAGAGGAAGAATGTTTAATAAGAAGAGGTAATGTTTCAGGTTCTTGTATTTGTATATTTTCTAGAGGATAAACTTTATTAGACACCACAACACCATGAATATCTCCTAGCTGCTGCAGCTGGTTGTGCTGCTGCTGCTGCTGCTGCTGCTGCTGATGCAGCGATGGTAGTAGTTGGTGTTGCATTGCTGCGTCTTTTTAAAGAAACTGAAACTGAATACTTGTGATGAAACCTCAAGGAGAAACCAAACGGAAACTGCAGAAACCTGTGTATACACCTCGTCTGCGGTGTATGCGCAGGTGTATATATATATATTCAGATTGCAGCACCCGTGCACACACCCCAGGGGGTTGTTGAGGAAAGCAGCAGCAAGCAGCCAAGACGAATTCTTGTTTCCTTTTTGCTTCTTTATTCAGAAAAGAAGAAAGGGAGAGAAAGAAGAAGCAAAGGATGAAACACAGAGAACGCGACGGGGGCGGACGCAGCGCGCGGTGATAGCTGTAGCGGTATACAAGTGCAGCGTTGGGGTTTATAGAAGTTGTTGCGGATATAATTTGTTTGTATTTATAAATAAAGTTCAAATACAGAGTCAAATAAATACAAATACAACATATAAAACTCAGTAGTATACAGTTTCTGCTCGCTGGCTGCTGCTGGCTGCTGCCTGGCGGCCGTGGGCGTCGTCGTCGTCAGCTGCGTGTCGATGAGGTTTCTGCTGCTGAATATATGGGGAATCTGCACGGAATCTTGAGTTTTAAGAAAGAATAAAGATAATATAATTCCTTCAAATGTAATTTATGAAGGATTTTCCACAAAAAACCCAAATATCAACGGTATTTTATACAGCAATCGGAGTGAGCACAGCTGCGCCGACGATCGCCGCCGTCGAGGCCGCCTAGCTGCTGCATCTTCTGTTGTGTTTCTTGCGGAAGTTTGTGAAATATAAAAACAAAAAACTGCATTTTTGTTCATAAATTCATAAAACAATTCAATATTTTCTCGTAGATCTCTCAATAATTCAGAAACACCAAAAATGTATTGCACGCCGTTTCAGCTTTCTCGGTGGCGACGACCGCCGGTAAGCGTTGGCTGTCTGTTCGTTGTTTTTTCTTGTTTCAGCTAAAAACTTCTGAAAAAGAATTTCTTTATAAACTCAAAACAAATTCAACTATATTTCGCGTTGATACTTTTACTCTAAACCCTAGCAACAGAACAAGCACCGCTGCAGTTTCCTGCATCCGCCGGTCCTCGCAGCAACGGGTGCGCGTGCAGTTTCTGCTGCTTGGATATTTTAATGGCATGAAAAAGAAGAAAAAAAAATAAATAGAATATAAAGAATATTTAAAAAAGAATATTTAAAACAATTCATAAACGAAATACACTTTTCTCGTACCCAGTGAGGTCGTATAAGAAACTCATACATTCAGGTTTCCGTTCATGTTCAAGTTCAGTAGTGTAGCCTTCGCCGCTTGTTTGTATAAATCTTTTTCTTCTTTTTTCTTTTGTATCATAGTTTTATAAAATATTTACAGTAATACAAACATTTACCGCGGCTGTAAACAGAAAAAGATGCAAAATACAAACACAGTAGCAGCGACGCGCACGCAGAGAAGAAAACAGAAACGAAAGCAGTGCAGCTCCCCCCGGCCCGTTGCTTACTCTCTCTTCTTCTTCTTCAGCTGTATATACATACATTTGCAACAAAGAAACATAAACTCTAAAACAAAAAGTATTTTATCTTTTTTATACAAAGTGTGTATAGTACGCCCCGCCTACACCATGCAGCATAGAAAGCAACAGCTGCTCTTGGTGAGCCCCGTTTTTAAGAACTGAAGAGGAAGTAACTGGCAGCAATATATTTTTTATTATTTTAAATTAATTCAATGAATTTATTTTCAGGTT